TGGGCTTTAGGCTGCTGCAGTCCCTGTAAGTGGTGTTGGCTGTGCAGTGACTTGGCAGCTCTGTGTGGGTAACACTCCAGGAATGGAGGTTAATCATTTTACAGTCCTAGAATTAGGCTGCACAGTTTCTTCCAAAGGAAGAAGTCACTAGATGCCTGTGTTCCCCTTCCCTCTTGGTTCCATCCCTGTGCTCTAATGACTCAGCACCACCAGAGGAGACTGTCATCTGTAAAGATTGACCTTCTTCAGTGTCTGTCAGCTCCACAGGAAGCAAGTTTCCTAGGACAGCACAAGGGGCTTTTTAACCTGTTTTTCCTCCCATGAATATGAGGTTTAAGTGCTCCACACATGCTCACTAGTATTGGTAGACTTGTAACTTTTGCTCTTTTTACTAATTCCTATTAATATTGGCACACTCTTTGGGCCATGCATGAATAGCAAAGGCAATGTCTGGGCACACTTTTTTGTACCCACTCGTTCCTCTTCAGGGTAAGTGCAGCTCTCCTCAGCACTTAGTTTGAAAGGACTTGGGCTCAGGAGTAGATGAGCAAATGGAAAGCAGCCATAGCATTTGAACTGGAAAGCTAGTGAAGGGGAGGGGAAGTTAGGTTTGAAAAGGTTTGTTTTCCAGTACAGGTGTGAAATTCGCCCTTACAGAGCTTTTGGGGAAAATAACAAGTCCAATGCCATGTACAATACAACATATACAGTGCTCAGTACAATGAGTATTTCCTTCCACTGATGTTTGTTTTACTGTTAATATTGAAATTGGGACATAAAAGTATGATGAACAGATAAAGCTTTCACTGAATAAATACTCCCTGATGCTGAGAGAGTTCTCTCTCACATAGCTGAGGTGTTTCTCCCTGTTGGTTCTCCACGTTCCAGAGACCATTCACCTTTTCCCCCTCTAGGTACCCCAACCTCGAGGCATTTTCCCTGGATGTCAGGCTGGTCTTCGACAACTGTGAGACCTTCAACGAGGATGACTCCGACATCGGCAGGGCAGGCCACAGCATGAGGAAGTACTTCGAGAAAAAATGGACAGAGATGTTCAAAGTGAGCTGAAGCTGCCACCACTCTTTTCTTTCTTCCCTTTTTGTTTCCATTGGATGAGGACTGAGGAGACCAGCAGTGAGGACTGTACTGGTGTGAGAGTGCGAGGCACACGCGTAGCTAGTGACTGGTTTCTCCCTCTGCAGTGTCACAGTCGTGATGCTCGTTCTAAAGGCTTCACTCCTACAGCAGCCCCTGGTTATTGGTCTGTGTGTGGTAACAAACTGATTTAGGTAGAACAGGGAAGCACACCCAAAGAATTTCAAAGAAGGGGTGTTCTAGTGCAATAGCAATTTATCAAAACGCACTGAATATTCAACCACCAGAGCTCTACTTGGGGAAATGGTTCTCCTTTCCCTCTCAATAAATATATATTTTTCATTTTTTTACTTTGTAGTTTATTTTTTAGTGAATGTATTTAATTTTATGAATTATTTATGATTATACAGCATTCAGAATCTTCGTTTTCTGTGAAAAGGAAGAATTAGAAAATTGCTTTAAATGTTGAAAATACAACAAGGAATGTTTTAAAATATAAAACAAAGCCAAGTAAAACTGTTTACACTGATGTGCTGTGAAAGCACTAAAAATTAAACTTTACTGTAGAGTTACAAGTACATTTATATATATGTTGCTGCATCACTTGTGTAGTTAAATTGTATTTCAAGACAATGAAGAATTGAGACATGTACATACTGTTCATTATTGTTTATATTAAGTCTTGTTTTAAATATGTATGATGTGTACATATTGTTTGCAGACATTATTGTTTATGCCTTAGGAGGACAGTAGCATTTTATTTTAATCTTAAGGTAATTATAGCTCTATGGCTTGTACAGTAATTATCCTCTACCAACACTGTGGAGTCTCCTTAATCTTGGTAGTGCCTGCCTTTAAAACAGGGTGTAGGGGATATTAGTTTTCCATTTTTCTATTTTGTTATATAATTTCAAGCCACCACGGCCTCGAATCGAGTATAACCATTTGTACCCATGTGGCAGAAAGTCGTGACCGATTTCCTACGCACACAGTATTTTTTCATAGAAACATTTCCCTCCATTTGCCTTGCCACAGAATTACAGACAAAGACATTTGTAACCACTGTGTTTTATCTACTGTGTGTTGTGGTGGCCTGTTGGGGCAGATAGATCAGAGTTTCTTTTGTACTAATGTAAGAGTACTTGAAGTTTTATTTAAGAGAAATGTTGTGGAAAGGTAGCATTCTTTTTCTTTTCCTTTTTTAGGAGTGTTATTTTTCACTAGTATGTGTGGCACGGATACAATAAAAGACTGTTTTGGAAACCAGATTTTCTTGGCACTTTTAATACTTCAGATCCTGTGCATACAGGTTTGGTTTTTGGTTTTTTAGGCAATGCCTTGGGAGTCTTGCATTTAACATTCAATCCTCCTCCTTAGGATGCATCCAGTTCTCGTGGCCTTCCCGTGTGACTCCGAGGGAAGTGGTTGCCAAGCAGTCAGAGCAAGTTCCCCAGTGTTTGTGTGAGTGTAAATCCTCTTAGGGACAGCCTGGAGCTGCCAGTCCTGGTCTCTGTCGCTGTGGTGTGGTGGTAATACACACGGCGAGGGAGGTTTCTTACACCAATGTGTGTGAGGTTTTGGCCTGTGGAAGGGCATGAGTTATAGTCCTGGCTCTGAGGGAGTGGAGGAGTCACAGACGGATATTGTGGAGGCCCAATACTTGTAGCTCTCACAAAGTAATGTTGGTTTTTGCTTTTGAACTAGGCCTTGTTGAGTTTCACAGCCTTGGTTGGTATACTCTCTTGCCATTCCACTTTTTGTCTCCACTGAGAAAGAACAGTCAGTGCCTGGTTTTTAATGAGGTGTTTGTTTCCGTCGCCCTCCACACAGTATCTTGGTCAATAGTATTTTTCTTTAGTCCTGTTAGAATAGTCCATTATTACCCAGAATAAAAGCTCACATGTGAATGTCAGCAGTCCTAACATTCACTGACTGCTTCATGTCTTTCCATGACCTTTCTGAAGACTTCAGTAAAAAGGTTTGCTGTGCTGACATGTCCCAGAGCTGTGACGATCACTCAGTGTTCTGAACATATGATGATAAGCTTGTAAGAAAGTGTTAAAAATATGCTTAGATAATTGAGAAAACTAGTTCTTCCATGAGAAACAGTTTGGTTCTTGTTTAGAGAATGCATTCCAAGCTATCAAACTCTTCATTTTAGACCACTGTAATGGTGCCTAATGAAGTGTTTTGGTTGTGAGTGTAGGTTCTCTTTTTCTCTTGTCATCTCTTTGAAAAACACTGGATGATACAAAAGCAGCTGGAAGTCAGATGTCATAGTTGTCTTGGACAAAATATGTATCTTTAAGCAGAGGTCTAAAGCTTTATCTTTGGTCTTTTCACATGATTTCTGTGGCTTCCCAATGACAATCAGAAGAGCAGAGGTGCTCTGCTGCCTGAATGGGCATGGACATCTGAGGAACAATCATTTAGGTTAATAATGTGGCCTTGGGGGACTTGATGTGCTAAACTTGTGTCATTCCTAGATATCTCATACTAACCAAAATGTTCCTGCAAACTGAAGGCTGAGGACTGAAATACGGAACGCCACAATTACGCTGACGATTCCCTAACTCTTTCCAAACAACATTCAGAGATAACCAGAAACTTCCATAGCCGCTGTGCACATTCAGGAAAACAAATGTCGTTTATTACACGAGTTTCTGTTGCTTCTGTTGTACGACTGGCCATGGAACTGATAGCAGCTCAACACCTGGGCATGTTACTGGCTCGCAGTGTGTCACTTCGCAGGTGATTTCAGGCTGTGTGTGATTTCAGGCTCCCTGCGTGTGATTTCAGGCTCCCTGCGTGTGATTTCAGGCTGTGTGTGATTTCAGGCTCCCTGCGTGTGATTTCAGGCTCCCTGCGTGTGATTTCAGGCTGTGTGTGATTTCAGGCTCCCTGCGTGTGATTTCAGGCTGTGTGTGATTTCAGGCTCCCTGCGTGTGTCGGTGTGGTGCTCAGTGCTCTGGCCGCACTCCCTGTGGGCACACCTGGCGGTGGGCAGAGCTCGGGTGGGTTTGGTTAGCAGGTTGGTGAGCACAGGTGTGACACAAGGACTCCGGGACGGAGAGCGACGAGCGGGCGAGCAGCGCTGTGCTGTGCGGCGGAACGGAGATGTGGGGAGCTCGGCAGAAACGGTGAGTGCCGAGACACCCGATCCCCTCGCGAGGCGCCTCATTCCCCTCGCGGTCA